TGTCTGTCTGTCTGTCTGTCTGCTTTTGCTGTGTCTTGAGAGCACCTTGCAGCTAGAATGTGGTTTGTTTTTGTTTTTGTTTTCCTAAAAAGAAGAAGCAGGATGAATGTGTAAGAATCCTACTGTACCTTCTATGGTTGGAATTAAAATATAGGGAGAATAGTTTACTTAGTGACTGTAATAATAACAATAACAATAACAACAATAATAATAATGAATGTTCAGTTGACTGAGGTTCATGTTTAATGAATAAAAGATATAATAATAATAATAATAATAATAATAATAATAATAATAATAATAATAATAATAATAATAATCTTTACAAAATACATCAAGAAACTGCAGCTTTCTGCAATAACTCCAGCAATGTTACAAAAAAACTGCGCTACTCGAAACATATTATATTTTAAGGAGGTACCTGGTTCACACCTAGGATGCTGGTAGCAACCCGTGTCAACCATCAGCCCCAGCCAACTTGAATGTTCAGTTGACTGAGGTTCATGTCTAATGAATAATAATGAGGAGGAGGAGGAGGAAGGGACCTTGGAGGTCATCTAGTGCAACCCCCTGCTCAGGCAGGAAACCCTACACCATTTTGGACAAATGGCTGTCCAGTCTCTTCTTAAAAACTTCCAGTGTTGGAGCATTCACCGCTTCTGAAGGCAAGCCATTCCACTACTTAATTGTTCTCGCTGTCAGGAAGTTTCTCCTTAGTTCTAGGTTGCTTCTTTCCTAGATCAGTTTCCATCCGTTGCTTCTTGTCCTGCCTTCAGGCGCTTTGGAGAATAGCTTGACTACCTCTTCTTTCGGGCAGCCCCTTCTTCCTCTCTGCCCCTAACCGAGTCCCGGATTAATACACTTTTCCTTGCCTGATTTCTTAAGAGAATCTTTCACCACTCCAAGACAATTGCGTAGGAGCCATTTTCCTTGAATAGAGCCATCTAGTAATTGTGATAATGGGTGGCAAATACAGGTAAGTCCTTGACTTACGATCACAATTCAGCCCAAAATTTCGGTGGCTAAGGGAAACATTGCTTAGGTGAGCTTTACTCCCTTTTACCACCTTGCTTGCCACGGTTGTTAAGTAGATCTCCAGGGGGGACAGGATAGCAGCCTTCCAGTATCTCAGGGGCTGCCCCATAGAAGAGGGAGTCAAGCTATTCTCCAAAGCGCCTGAAGCCAGGACAAGAAGCAACGGATGGAAACTAATCAAGGAGAGAAGCAACCTCAAACTAAGGAGAAAATTCCTGTCAGTTAGAACAATTAACCAGTGGAACAACCTGCCTCCAGAAATGGTGAATGCTCCAACACTGGAAGTTTTTAAGAAGAGACTGGACAGCCATTTGTCCGAAATGCTATAGGGTTTCCTGTTGCCATATCCTAAAAGTGGCACAATGGGTGAAAAGGTTGAAAAGCCCCTGCCATAAGCCATCCCAAGAATATAGTAGACGCTTTTTATCCCACAGTCCTTTCGTAGACACACAGAGGTCCCTGTAGGTCCCTTTAAAATTGGGTGCGTCGTCACAAACCCAAAATGGGAGAGGATCCCTTTCAAACAGATTCTAACAAACTTTGGAAAACTGGGTAGAAACTTACACGCTGGTGTGAACACAGACTACTTCCCTTTTCCTTTCCCAGACATTGGGGCATCTGGAGAAAGCCGTAGTTCTGGAATTAACCTTGAAACACGTCAAAACGTTGACTGCCTTAACGGAACAGCTGCATCAGAAAATCATTGCTCTACAGAATGGTAAGGAGGAGGTTCAGCCCTGAAACAGCATTAAAGGGAGCTCTAAATGAGAAAAAAAGAAAGAAAGAAAGAAAGAAAGAGAAAGAGAAAGGAAGGAAGGAAGGAAGAGAAAGAGAGAGAGAAAGAGAAAAGAAAGAAAGAGAAAGGAAGGAAGGAATGAAGAAAGAGAAAGAGAGAAAGAAAGGAAAGAAAGAAAGAAAGAAAAAGANTCCTCCTCCTCCTCCTCCTCCTCCTCCTCCTCCTCCTCTTCCTCCTCTTCCTCTTCCTCCCCCCTGCTAACCCCACTCCCTTCTAGCACTGATGATGTTCCCTAGTTGGGTCATGAAACGTCTGCAAGCTCAGAGCACCAAGGACCCCACAGTCCTCCTCCTCCCTGCTAACCCCACTCCCTTCTAGCACTGATGATGTTCCCTAGTTGGGTCATGAAACGTCTGCAAGCTCAGAGAGCACCAAGGACCTCTCTGCCTCATTCCTGGGCCACTGGCTCTGGTCCCAGAGATAACGACCGGTGATGTGAGTTTCTTCCTAGCTGTTTGCCATCTTCTTGCAGGAGACAGATCCTTGAAGTCTCCTCCACAGTCCGACCTGGATGCTTTCCATTCCGGATTCCAAACGTGCACCAAAGAAGTCTTGCACTACCTCTGCCGATCGGAAAGCTGGACCAGCCAGGAGCAACGTGGCGTCCAGCTAGTCGGTCACTTGCACTCAGTTTGCACTCGCTTCCTGCCCGGCTCTCCCCACTTGATCCCAAAGCTTTGCGGGGCCAAAGGACGGTGGTCACCCCAGGAGAAACAACAACAACAACAGCAGCAGCAGCAGCAGCAGAAGCGTCCTGGAGGAACCCCGAAGCAGGAGACCCAGCCCCACTGCGTGCCGGTCATCCAGAGGACTCAAAACTGGAGTAGGGGCCCTGCCACCCCCCACCCGCCCCTCAGTGGCACGGAGCAGGCCGGGGAGCACGACACAGACACGGACAGTGGCTACGGCGGCGAGTACGAGGGGAAGACCACACGGGGTGGCTTCATGGTCAAGCAGGAGCCCACCTGCGACGTGGAAGAAGTTCCTGAGGGAGTCAAAAGGCGCAGGCTGGAGAACGGCAGCCCCTCCGCAGCGACGGTGCGGGGGGCTGGGGTCGGGGGGAGGGCAGACCCTGTGCTTCTCAACCCCCTGATGGCTTTGGGCGTGGGGGCCGGTTGTGGGCTAGGAGGGTCTCTCTTGGGCCAGGCCCCCACCGCTCCCTTCTGCTTGCCTTTCTACTTCCTTGCCCCGTCGTCGGTGGCCGCGGCCTACATGCAGCCCTTCCTGGAGAAGGTCAGCCCGGAGAAATCGCTCTACCCCGCTGGGGGGGCTGCCGGCCCCTTCCCCTTCATTTATCCTGGGATTTCGGTCCAAGGGGCTGCTGCCGCTTTCCCTTCCCTTGCCGTGGCCGCGCCGGCAGCAACGTTGGCCCCCTTGGCCGAGAAAGGCAGCTCACTTTTGGGGACAGCCCCCTGCTTTCCCACGGGGGCAGCCCCTGCTTCTCAGCCCCCTCCCCTCCTCTTCCCCTGCAAGCCGGCTGAGCTAAATACAGACCCGGATCGTTGCCCTTCCCCAAAGTCTGATCTTCAGCCCGGCCGGGACCGGCCCTTGCAAGCAGATGCTATGCTGTCCAGCATTTAACCCACCCCCATGGGG